CCCAGGAAGAGATTCATGGCAGTGCATCTCACTGTGGTGCCCAACCTGTTGCACATCTCCTCACTCCACCACCCCACAGCTGCAATGCCAAAAAGAACCTGAGCACACCTGATATATTCAGTGTTCCTCTAGAAACACCCCTGAATAAAACACACGTGTACACATGGGAGTGTAAAGGGAACATCTGGCATAACTTAGTTAACTTAAAACTGTACAGCTCTGCAGAAAGGTTTTCTAACAGTTTTAATCTCTATCAGGGCAGTAATATTTTTAATAACTTTGTGGTAAGCCCCATTTAAAATAAAAGCTTTTAGGTGACTTCAATTACATACCAAAGACTAAGGCGAATAGACCCTTATCCCCTTGAAACCAATGCCAAAACATCCCTTAACTCCAGTCAGACCAAGCTGACAAGCAGATTTTAAAAAGTGCAATTACATTTATTGTTTACTTTATAAGTTTTTGATCTAGTCACACAATGACTTGAAACTAGGCACTTTTTTTTTTTTACAAGCACTAAAATGGTGCCTTCCCAATTTTACTGTGTCTTACTTGAATTTTCAAACTAATTTCATTGTTTTAACTATTCAAAAAATAATCCACATCTGGTGGGTTTAGTATCGGGGGCGGGGATTGACAATGTATTCTTAATACTATATAGCTAAAAGGAAGAATTAAATTAAGATGTATTTTAATAATAGCTGAGCCACCATAATTCTCTAAAACTTTTTATTTAATAATTAACCCACAATCAGAGAAGAAAGACAGGCATAACTGAGTTTAAGATATTTAAGATTTTGTTGAGAGCTCCAACAAGAGAAATTCCAGGATGATGTAGGTATTTCTCTGCCTGTCTCCCAATTGGATACGGAGCTACATTTGTGCCTTGCTTATCTTTTCCACCAGAACAGCACAGCTAGGAGTTGGCTAACAGGTGAGGCAATAATAGCATGGTATGACTTCAGCAGAGTTAGGGATTTGAGGAGGACAAAAATTACCTTTGAGATCCAAGGCCAGGCAGATGCCCTTCAGCATTGAAATATGCATTAATCGCCTGCATGGAGTCTTACAACTAACAACCTGTAAATTCTGCCAGACTAATTTCACTGTTGGATAAAATTGTTTTAGTCTTAAAGCAGAGGAGCAACTCAAAAGTTAAGGTACTAACCAGAGGGCACTGTATAAAACATGGAAAGGAAACAGATGCATTTTACTGATGGTTTCTTTGTTGCATTTCAGCAATGGTCTTACTAAAAAGATCTCGAACACCTATTTTCAAAGCAGATCGACCTTTCACATTTTTCCTGAGGCAAGTTAATACAGGTATGCACACTCTGCCTTTTAGGAGCAGAATCCTTCACAAGCAGCACTGAAATCAATGCAAATAGCATGTCAATCTTCAGTCCAGGCAACTTCAAACAACCATGGAAACAGCGGGGTTTGGGGTTTTAAAGCATAGATTTTAATTTCCTTAAAAAGAATGTACAATAGTCATAGAAGTCTAGGAAGTCAGATTAGCCTCTTCTTTGGACATGCAGCATGTGCTCTAAAATTTTTATCAAAATTACAGGCACTAGAGAGATCTCACAGATGCTGAGCACTTCAGCATCCAGAACTGATCTCTACAGGGCAACTCAAATTACAAATGGGCTGGACCAGCTGAATTAACACCTGAAGTAGTTAAAATAGAAACCATTCCCTATACAGGAAACTTATCCATGCCTGTACTGATAGCAAACAGACTTCTGCTAAGAAATGTTACCTTGCAACCATTAACTCTTCTCTTGCAAATGACCTTCCCTAGCCCCCAAACAAACACCACCCAAAAAACCCAAACAGAACTGCAGAGCATGTCTTAGAGTGAAGCATCACAGTGCTCCTTTAGCTTCAGTAGTGGATTACAAGTCTCATTTCAGATGTACAAACACATTAAATTACTCCAGACTGCCTGCCAAAAGAAAACACCCTATAGCTTGTTGGCAATAATAAAGAACTGCATTATTCACCATTTAGCAGGTATTTGCTACTCTGAAGCAACAGCCAGCCTCCAACAATTCTTATTCTTAACAATGCAGTAATTTTGCACCTAAAGTATTTTCATAGAAATCATTTGAACTACCACGTTTCTCTCATAACTGGGGTCACAGCCATTTAGATTTTCAAGGAACACAGACATTTACAGGGTTAAATAAAACACTAGGGCCTAACACAAAGGCAGGAATCATATCCCTTATCTGCTTCCAAGCAACACACTGTTCTCTTAGTCAGTGAATACCCATGTATGCAACATTTTGTTTTAAAAACCTGTATCTTAAATTTTGACCACAGTGCAAGCACCCAAAAAGAAAATTACTGCCTTGGTTGGAATTTTGTTTTAAATATGCTTTGGCAATCATTACTAGTCAATGCATGATAGTATTTTACTTGGCAAATGCAGAATTTTAAAATAAAAAAGGCATTAATAAGCTCATCTATGAAATATGAGCCACAGACTCTTCAGGATTAAGAACAAACTTACTTCAGTGAATAAAATGGTCAGCTTACAATATACATAAATTCTATAAAGAGGAAGGAAATCAGATTTTAAAATAGGATTTTTTTAATGTGAAGCATAAAATACATACCTTCCAATCAACTCTAAATCAAAAAGATATTTCTATAATTCAAGCTTTGTCATGCAAAAAGTGAAAACATGAATTTTTTTGCTCATACTTAGTAATTGAAGTTTTTGAGGTATGGAAAACTTCAACAGGTAAACAAGATCTATTTTCTATCCACCTGTCTAGAAGTGCTTAAAGCTCCTATGCCCATAAAGTTCTTAATTAATCTTTATGTAAACCAAAAGTATTCAGTGCATCAATTTTCTAGTAACAGCAGAAATATGTTTTCCAATACTTAAAATAGCATAGTTCTGCTCAAAATAACTGAAAAAAATTAGCTTTTTAATCTGAATTTCAGGTTTGCATACATTCCCTTTGAAGAACAGGCAAGGTAACACCAATAGGAATAACTAAATAAATCAAATGAATCTGAGGCAATAATTTCATTCTCTTCTGTAACTAAAATATGAACAAAGCAATGATCTTGGGTTCTATTTTGTTGAGTTTAAGTAAATTTCAGATTTCAGCAGGTTCCTAGTTTGGGCTACCAATTATTTGGAAAGGTGTTTTTAATACAGAAATGTTTAGATTATTTTAAAACAAGCATGCAATTGCAGTCATTTTTCCATACAAGCAATGAACAATTCTACAATCTACTAACTCCATGCCTAACTTTTGTACTTAAACTGTACTACACCCTGAAAGCATGGCCCCCCAAACTGAAATAATGTTACTATTATTTTCATTTACAGGTTCAGTACTTTTTATAGGAAGAGTTACAAATCCTTCATAACAAGACCTAAATGCATACACTGACTTCTGTTCCTCCTATGATAAACTTTCTTCCAATGAAATTAAAGGCTACATTGTATGTATTTACTAAAACATAGTTTTAAGCTTTTCCAAGAATAAGAGTAAAAGCTCTCTACTACCTTATTACATTGTAGACACTGTTGAAACCTAGAGTTGTCTAGGAATCATCAGCACCACAACTACAGCAAAGACAGTATTCCAAAATAAACATTTGCAAAAAAATGGAACAGGTTCAGCCTCCTAAATGTTTAACAATATGAGCCAACAGCTTCTCTTCAACTTTATCATGGCTAAAGTCAGCTTGACTGTTGCTAGGTATGTAGGTCATCTGAATGAAAGCAACCCAAAAGAAAGCTTTGTGATGTTACTTATCCAGTACAATTTTATTTCTCTGCCCTGAAGTCAAGAGCTTAAAACTGAAATTAAAACTTAAAAATTAAAACTTTAAACTGAAATTCTGTCTGACCTCAGACAGTAATAATTCAGCTTATACAGAATGTAACAAGCTAGCAGCAAAATGCTGTGGTAAGAAAATCAAGTTGAAAGGTTGTTTCAAAACTGACACATAGAATCATTAAAGTTGGAAAACGCCTCTCAGATAATAGTCTGACCATTAACCCAGCACTGCCAAGTCCACCACAAAACCGAGTCCCTAAACACCACACCTACACACTTTCTGAATACTTCCAGGGGTGCTGATTCTACCACTTGCAAGGGCAGCCTGTTTCCAAACACAGCAGATAAGAAGCAGAAATAGCCACTCAGTGACCAAACAAATATTGCCATAAAACACAGCAGTACTATCTCTACTGCCTTTGAAGCACACAGAAGATAGAATGGACATTCCAGAAGAACACAATGGGACTACTGGCATCAAGAAAAATGGGGAGTGTATTTTTTGTCAGTATCCTGACAAAAGCTGGGATATGGCAAGTGTTCAGCAATTCATAGCACATGCATCAGAAACACAGGCCCATAAAGATTTTGGGTGAAGGCTGCAAACCAGTGACTCCCAAGAAAAGCATCAGAGAGGACTGTTCTATTCAGCTCCCAGTGAATCAAACAAAGCCTTCCAGATCATTCAGAGCATCCAGCACAGCTGAAAGACATGGCCAGTAAGGCAATCGGTGATATTTTGTGTCCAGGCAGCAGAGCCCTGTGGGTGTTCCTGCCCTTGTAAACATGTAAAATCTTCTGACACAGAAAACCTATGTGCAACCTTCTTCAAAAGCTACTGACCCCTGCTTTACTGCACTGTATCCCTTAATAAAACTGCAGGGTTTGACATGGCTGCAGATGTGCATACAAAACATCACTTTGTTATGCTGGTCACCAAAAGTGCAAAGTACACAAGATACCCTACTGTAGCTGCAATTCAGCATTAGCTCTCTTTCACTCTTTCTCTGATTAAGAGCAGAATATCCAGTGATTCAAAACCACTCTTCATTCTTCAGCACTGATACCAGAACAAAGAAGCTCTGGAAAGGGAAGGCAAAACAAGGAATTCCAATAAAAATTGTACTCAAACCTACACAAAAATTAAAATAGATATTTTATTGATGGAATAACAAAAGTGCTTTTCTTAAATATTTTTCAAAATACATTTATACAACTTACAATAATATATCCAAAATAACTGTATATACAAAACATTACCTTTTTTAATGTATGTGCTTTTTTTTTTTGAAAATTACAAAGCAACTTTTTGGCAAAGTTCAACCTTAAGAGGTGATAGTTTTGAAGGTTAGATTAAGAAAAATAGAACCTGAGGGAAAGTGACACTTATGTCCATGACAAGCAAGAAGTTCTCAATTTAGTTAAATAAAAATGTTTTCATAGTATTTTTCACATTACAAAAATAACAAGTGAGGAAAAAAAAAAGATGATGGATACTTCTCATCATTTTATTGAGCAGCTTCTCATTCTTTCAGGTACAGGAACTTGAGATTAAGAGTGCATGTCAAAAATGAATGCAAGTAAGAACAGCAGTGCCCTGCTGTGGCTCTCTCATGTGAATTTTCTTAGCTGCTGTTGATATGGTTGACCTGATTGGATCTGCGATGGATTTCTTCAAGAAAACTCTCAAGCTGTTCTATCAGCATTCGTTTTTTAAACCTGGATTTAAAAGAAAGCATTACAATGGATGCACAGAGCAATACATGAAACATTGTTGACAAAACTTTTACTGAACCCAGGAAACTTCAGTTATTACTGCAGAAGCAGTGCATGATAAGGCTACACATATCTCATACATATACATATGCTTAACATTCTGGTAAACCACTAGAACTTGATTTTCCATTTGCTGAATATGAAACTACATTTAAGAGAGTTTATTATAGCTGAACATCACTCAGGTCCCAGAAATCCAGGAAAAGGAGTTAAGAGTTTGTTGCTTCCAGAAGTATTAAAGTCCAGAAATAAAATATACATCAAAAGAACTGTAATACCAAAGCTGGCAAACAGCTGTTAAGGATTATTTGCACGCTTTCATGATGCATTCACCAAAGTTAACAAAGTTGATATTGGTGGAGGAACAGCCATTACACAGTGCAGATTACACACAGATTTCCTGACAAACAGAAATTAAAACTTTGAGAAAGAAATGAAAGGAAAACAGGCATCCAAACTCCATACCTCTGGAGTCTCTATTCCATATCAGTTGTATAAATTTGATTAGTAGGCTATTCTGTCACCTCTGCTTACACCCCTACCTCAGGATGTACATCGCCTTGCTGTTTCCAACTAACCACTCCCCCTTGCAACATTTCTGTACCTCTGAGATGCCACTTCTGACCAATGCTTTGGTAGCCATATGTGTGTTCAAAGATAGGCAGCAATGAAAATACTTTGAACTAAATTCCAGGTTAAGTCCTGTGACTTCACTAAACCCCAGCAAAAGCCTTTAGCTCCCATCAGGCATCCTGGTCCATGTCTTTGGCTCACAGAGCCATGGTACCTGCCCTAATTTTGAGATCACAAGTCTCCCCACAATCCCTGATGCATCCAAGAGCAACACTCAACCACTGCCAAATTTTATAGAAGTGTCAGCTAAAGATAACTGGACTAAAGAGATTGTGCAAGAGAAATGAGTTACAGGTGATCTTAAAAGCTTAATTTTACAGGCACAAAAATTCCAACCCCACTAAGGACTGCCACAAGCTCCAAGAGCAACAGTAGGGTTTTGGTGGGCTGTGATATTGTGGGAGAAAGCATAATTTACAACATATAGAACAAATCTGCCAAGCAATATAGCAATCAAGCAAAAGCACAATAAAGCAAGTGTTGCTGTAGGAAGAGCATGATGTACATAAATTTACATGCCCCACTGAGCTGGCAAGAGAAGGCTAGAGGATCTGTATTAATGTCCAACATCCAGTATATCTTAAACTCTCAGCATAGTTTTCTCCTAAAATTACTTTGTTTTTTAATAATGAAATTTGCTTAATGCCCCAGGAAAAGAGATGACTACTACAAAACAGATTAGAGAATAAGAAGCAATTATTCTTTGAGGTTTCTGAAATAAGCCTCAAAGATCTGGTTATCCAGATTCTGGATTACTAGTTCCCAGCTTCTCAAACACTACTGGTTCTAATACATTTTGGTTTTTTTTCCTCTCAGTAAGCATGTAGAAGGCTAAGTATGGACAGTCTAAAGATTCTGTAAAGAACAGTTTCTACCTGGATGAAAAACACAGGGTTTAAATCCTTATCAAGTCACTCTTCTCCAGAGAAAAGTCACCTCCATTTCCAAAGTCTCAGACAGGACTACACTATCTCTGAATGAAGTATGCTGAAGAGTAGAGACATCTTTATGAGCATACCTGAATATAAAAACTATTTTTAGGACAAGATTTTGAGCTGATTCTGTTTCTGAAAGCCTAATTCTCAGTAACTGGCAGCTCCATTACATTTTCAAATTAGCAGTGCACACTCACCTGAACTTTTTAATTGGAATGTTTATTTTAAAGTTACCTTCTCTTTCTATGCCATTTTCCATCTACATTCACAGGGATTTGGCAGTTAAGAGTTGCTAACATCTTTAAGCCAGAATCCAAATGAAAAAGGTAAGCTTTTACAAACAATACCTCAAGAAGCTTATGCATTTCTGCTCTTTCATAAGGAATTATTTAGTTGCAGTGCAAAGCATTGTTTTCAAACAATTGCATGATTGTCCAGCAGTTATACATGGCACAACATGGTACAGTTTTGTAAGAATAATACAATTCTGTTACCTACCTTGAAGCTTCTTTAATAACATTCTGTAAAAATATCAATCGGGTCTGTAAGCTTCCTTGTACATGCTTCAGTAAAAAGAAGATTCTTTCATACTCTTAAAGGTCAAGAGAAAAGAAACATCAGTTATTTAAAAGATGCCTACACAGATATCTGTTGTTATATAGGAGTAAAATGCAACATTCAATTTTTGTAAGCTTCTAAGCTGTATCTCCTATAAACTGGAGCAAGAACTTATTTAATGAGAACTAACATTAAAAAACCACAGAATATTGCAGGTTAGGATATTACTAACACCTATCAATTTAATTCTAGTATTGATATAAAAAACATGACTTTAATGAACACTGATAGGTACAGCAATGTTTTAATCACTTCTACAGTAAGTTTTTAACAGGGGTTTTAAAACAAATCTTTTCAGCTTTAAATTTAAATTTTGCTTCAGTCTCATGGGCCAGTACACTTCTAAAATAGTGATCTAACATGAACTCTTTGTTTAACTCTCACAACAATTATCTAAAAGAAATTCAGTATACTTACTCCTTCCTGGTTTTCGGATCTCCTTCATAATTTGTGCTCTTAGCTCTATATTAATCTCTCTTGAACTTCTGCAGTGCACTGGTTTTTTCCCTTTGCTAGGTGAAGATGTTGTCAAGCTCTCTTCCGCACTCTGCTCTTTACTACCTGATTCCTCGTGATTCTCCAAAAACCCATCAACATTCAAATTATTCCCTAAATGTTCATGGCCTACATCCTCTGTATGTGCTGTCGGTCGATCCAATGAATTGAATGGTGAAGAGGACAGTGAAAACTCTGAATTCACAGCATTTGGGAAAACATCTGATGAAAGGGAGTCTGTAACGTGATTCTCAATGACATCATCAACTCCAGCTTCATTATTTGTTTCTGATGCTGAAAAAACAAAGATTACACTTGCCAGGTTCAAATTCCTTATCAAACGATCCAAGTCAATGAGTCAGATCAGTATTAGACTCTTAAAACTATGCCCCAGCTCAAACAGTCTACTGTACATGCCAGGCATAAGAAAACTTGCTTATGCATTATAGCACTGGGCCCATCACTATCTCCTGGCAATTAAGGACTTTCAAAAAAACCATAGCTATATTCTTTGTATGAAAAAAGGAAATTACTGTATGGACTACCAATGAAAGAAAAACCACCGAAGTGATTTTATGATATGGTGTCTTTCCCCCTTTAAATAAAACTAACCAAATTTACTTAAGTACTAAACACTGAGTAAGAGCTAGTTATACAGCCCCTTAGCTTCACACCCAGGGAAGTGATTTCACTGCACTAGAGCAAAATCCAAACTAACTTCATGCTGTGATACTTCTAGAGTATCTAAATTTCCTGGCAAAGGGAGAAAACTCTTCTCATCTACACTGTCTCCTCAGGACAGAGGAAATATGTTGTTTATACTTGGAATTTACATGAAAGACTTCCATCTGAAGGACTATATGAACTCTAACCTTAACCCCAGATGCAAGTACAACCCTCAAGTACTTAATTTTCAAGAGGGAGGGATAAAATTGCCATATTCACAAATCAGCCAACAGTACTTTTTACATAAAAGTTTTTTCCAGATATATTAAAAAACACACTTTAAAGGTTTTGAAGATTCACTTACTTTTGTGAACAGCAATGGGTTTAACAAGGTCAGGCTGTGCTTGTGCAATTGGTGTTGGTGGCCCTTTTCCTCCAGTGTGGTTATTGACAACTGGAGGAGTTTGTGGTCGCCCTCTGAGCAGAGGGGACATACAACGTCGCCTTTTCGGAATCCCTTGCATATTTGGTTCTCCGGGTCTTTTATGTTTATTTTGAGGTCCTGATACAAATTCATCTGCTTCATCTATCATCATTCCCTGTAATTAATTTAACAGGAAGAATTCTTATGTGTCACACCAAAACCACATAAGGTACAATTAGCACTCTGGTATTACCATAATATTTAGCATGCATAAGAGTTACATACAACATGCCATTGTTTGGAATTCCAAACTGTCAACCAAGACCAGATAAATGTGATTAAGGCCCTTATCCAACAGTCTGACAAGGTGAGGGAGTGGGGCATCAAGCTTCCTTTTCAGTAATTGCAAAGAGACTCACATTTAATACAAGAGCTCTAACTTATACTGGAAGCTTGGTCAATTTTAAGAGATTTGGATACAAGGGACAGTCAAGACTCTAAAAGTTGAGACAAGTGTTTCAGTTATATTACAATTTAGAAACACAATACTGGTTTTCCAAGAAAGACTGTCCTCCATATGATACTGCTGTTGGAAGAACATCTGAGAGAGACACTTTTTCATAAACATTTTTTTTACAAGTATTTGAAAGGGTTTCTCCAATAGACTATTCAAAGATCAATGCAGGCAGCAGCACACACACCCCAGACCATTTTTGAAAACGCATTACAGAAAAGTCACCTTTTTGTCCAATTTGAATGGATTGCCAAATGTATGAAGCCTTCGTGGTTGATCAGGATCAAGTTCTCGGAGTGGAGAAGGTATTTGTTTTAGATACTCCTGGTAGTTTCCCATTTGTGCTATAGGTACACTGTGAACTTGATCTATCATAACAGAGGAGTTCATTAATACACAGTAATGCTGCTATTATGAGAGTTTAGTATATATCCATTTCATATCTCCAGTATTCAGACTTATCATATGTATTAACAGAACAGCTATAAAAAGCTCACCATTTTTCTTGCCTAACTGGTAATTATGAGACTTTTGACTTCAGTAGACTTGCTCCAAGGAATCAGTACATAACTTGGGGACTTATCATTTTGACAGGATATAAGCAATATGTGTCATACACAGATGGTAGTTTTCCAATGTGTCCCAACTTTGCAACACAGCAGTGGATGGAAAAACAGACTAGGAGCAAATTAGAACTAAAAGGTTACTGCAAACAAAAGACATATTAAAGCAAAGTAGTAATGCCATGCTGGACAGAGCTTTGACATAACTTGATCCAATTTCAGCCACCTGAAACTTAATTGTCAAGACTAGCATTTTCCCAGAGCAAGTGTGACCTTCGACCACTGTAAATCAACAAATTCTTCAACCCAAAGGAGCTGATTTTAAACTTGTTCTAGAGTTCCCAAGCCTTTGATCCAGAAAAAAATACACTAGAAGAAACTGCAGAAAAAAAATCCTAACCTAAGTTAATCCTCCTCTCTGAAGAACAACTACTCTGACAAAGTGATAACAAAGTGAAATGTACAGATGTTAATCTGACCTAAGTTGTAGCAGCACTAATGCAGCACAAGCTTTCACTTGCATTGCCCTTCTCACTCTACTTATTTCAACATCTTCAGTTAAATGCCACAAAGCAGTGCCAGAAGACTACAGGGAAAAAAAGGTAAAGGAATAAGCAGACTACTGAACCATTTATTGTTGGCTCAACAGGCAAAACAACCACAGTGCCAGCACCCAGTTAGCTAGCTTAATTTTCCACTCCTCACAGTCTGCTTCTACTGAAAGAGACAATGTTCAGAACTGCCCTGTGATTTTATCAGATACATCCATGAGAGTTAGGAAAAAGTGTATAAAGGAACTTCTGTAAAAGCCCAAGTCCCCTCACATGGACTTAAGGATAAACCAGTGAATCAGCAATCTTGTCTGTCCTCACCGTTTTTTCCTCCAAGGTAAAGAAAAAGCATCTAGAAAATCCATGCAGTGTAATGGCAGTATCAGACACCCACCTGGTTTTAAAGAACTACATTATTTGTTACATTGTTTCTTTGCAATGATCATATCCCAGGCAGACAAAATATAAACTGTTATCTAACCTTCATCTTGTCCTTTGAGGAACTTGCGAGTACTCTTCAGTAAATTAGATCTCATTCGTGTTAACTGATCCAAAAGATTTCTTCTGGGTATGTCATAGGCATTTCTAAATGTCTGAGGTTTCAAATCCTATGGTTCCAGTAAATGAAATTGCAATTAATGCCGTGTAAGAAATAATATCTAGCATTTCAATGGAAGTATATTGAAAATAACAACATTACACACAGTGGTGCTTACCTTATTCAGCAAAGCTATTTGGAACCCAGCATACTCCTTCATATTGAGGTCTAGAGGTCTATGAGGAATTTCCCCAGTAATCCCCTGTAGCAGATGTTGAAAATCGTTCCTATGTGCCATAGACAGGTTGTGTGATCTGCTTCTGACCTTAATTCCAGTCTCTTGCGCTACCTTTTTGCCTACAGAGCCAATGACTCTATCGGACTCTATTTTGGCCTTAATTTGAAATAAATAAATAAATAAAATTGACAATATGCTCTTAAAAGGATTAGTCAGACTTATTCATTTTAAATTCCTACCTACAAGATTCAACAATGTGCTAACACACTATGACGACCATAACCAGGCTGAATGCTTAAGGAGTGCTTAATACATAACAGCTTAATGCCTACTACAGCTTGAAATATAGCTAACAGTTTTCTGCCTAGGTCTTCTGCATATTTCTCCTCTGCTGCCCATTACAGTATCTAAGCACCAATATGCATGCAATGCTTTTATTTTCATAAAATGCCATAATTTGACTAGTAATTCTCTGCAGATCTATCTGTACTCGTATAATGTTCAGCTGTTCCTGTAGAGAACAGTAAAACTCACAAAAGACTGATTCTCCCACAACTGTAGTTGCAATCAGTCACCCAATAATATCAACTTTTTAACACTCAATACAAATAGTCATAACATTAACCAATTGAAACATATGAAAATAACCAACTGGTTGATCAGACAGACCTAGCTCCTAATATTACGTTAGATTTGTACCAAAATTAAACATGTTCATAAATGCTGGCTTTTTGACAGAATACAGTGAAACAAGCCAAAAGGAATTTAGTAACACAACTGCTAATTTTGGTTTTGCAATTTCACATAAATTTGACTATGTATTGAGAATGCCGAGTCTTTACTGGCAGAACCTTTCAGAAGTTACAAAAGCTTTAAGTACAATTTGCAGTGCATGTCATTACATCTTAGAGGAATCCAAGATGTCCAGGTTGAGACATCAGTTCACAGAATAGTGAGCAATATGACTATGATTTAACAGGACTTTAAGACATTTGCTTCCTCAAATAATTATTTATATTCATGTTTTAAGACAAAGGTGGTTTGTAAAAACTCACTAGCTAAGTTACCAGTACTTGGCACTACTGTTTCTTTAAGTCTCAAGTTGACTTTTTTTATCTTGAACACAAAGCTTAACATGCACAGTTCAAAGGTGGAGGTAGCAGGGCAGAAATGCTTTAGCTGGTGCAGGAGCCTAGACAAAGATTCAGGCACTATTCTGAACATGATCAGCAATTTCAAATGGTCACTTGTCATTTCTACATCTGTACCATTATTTGATACTGTCAGTTATTTACTGAACGCTTCCCACTTCACGTCACAAGCCAAAGAAAGAACACTGATTCTGATGCATCAAGCACAAATCCCCATTTCCTGCAAAAACACTAAAACATCTTTAAAGACAACATGGGGTTTTTTGGATGAAAGTATGTTATTCACTGCACAAGTGAAAATGCTCCTTAAATAGAAGAAATCTCAACTTGTACTTCTGTATCTGTCTCTATATAGTTTAGTTTATAAAACCTGTATTTAAATACTATATTTTCCTTCAATTCAAAAAAAACCAAAATTATTTTTTGCTAATTGCTTATGGGAAAGTATTAACTTGATCTTTCTGCTCATTTTTCCTACAAAGCCACTGAACTTGAGTATTTTAAGATTATCCTGCTATTAGAATAAGTTTTTACTGCTCTTTTGCTTCAACATTACCTGCTGACTCAACTTTTTGAGATATGAAATGACACTGTAACTAAGTCCATATTCCACATTGTCAGCTATAAGGTTTGGTGCTCCCATCATTCTCACAGCTTTCTTCAAAGGCTGAAACATGGAATATATTGCATGGTCATATTTAACTTCATGCACATTTCAACTAACTGTACCCATTTCAAACAGAACCTGAGGTTCTGAAAGTTTGAAAAGAACAAGAAACACTCAGGACAGTATTTTTTTGGTTGTTTTAAAATAGCTCAATTTATACAGAATCAGTTAAAAATATAATTTATATACAAGTCCCAGTTTATTATGAAATTAAGAAAATTCCATAGCATTCAGGTCTCAGGTCTTTCACAGGACTCCAGTGAAAACACTATCATTATGTATGAAGTTTAACTACTCTCTCTTAAATTAGTATATATTCTACTTAAAATAGAGATTATATTCATAATATAAAATATTATAAAATAAATTATAAAATAAAACAACTATAAACCAGACATTTTAACTCTGTCATCTTACCCCAAGATAATAAGGAGGCATTGTCTTCAAATAGCTTTCAAATGACTGACGCCACTTCAACGTAGGCTTTGCCTTATGTACTTTAAACAAGTCATCTAATAGTTATAAAAAAGCAAAGCAGCAAGATGAAAGGCATGTCAAGATAGCATTGCATTTTTTTTCTATAAATAAAGTTCTACTTAAAGAAACTCTTGAAGAAATGCAAATTCCTTGATGATTAAATTAGAATCTACAAGTCAACATATATATAACTAAACCAAACACACAAGATTTATGCTGCAGCCAGAAATAGAACCTGATAAATTACCAAATCGAACTGGTATTGAGACAACAGATTAGGAAAAATGGCTCTTGAAAAAATGAAAGTGAGACCGAAACATATCTGAAAATTATGATTGAATAAATAATCTTACACACCTTACGAGTCTGAGTCGTGAAGGCCAGACAATTGTCACTGACAACAAGTCTCTGATTCTACCTTTCTCCAGGTGTTATTAATACTGGCATTAATTGCAGTAATCTATTTAAATGATATCAGTGTTTCAATTACCTACCACATAAGAAAACTTGTATGAATTGGTATTTACCTAGCAGTGGAAGCAGGACTGGGTAGTTGTAAGGCATCACAAATAAATTCACACAATTCAGCGCTGTACTAGCTTTCAAGTAACCAAAAGGATGACCAAGTTCACTATATTTTGCACTATTGCTCACATACACCTGCAATTAAACACATTACATTAGATTTCCACACCAAGGACTCTGAAATTCTGCATCCTATTTTGACTGTAGAATAAGATATATGAAAAACAGCATTACATAAACTTCAATTCAGCATGCATTCTACTTGCCTGCCAGCAGGTCTGAGGGGATTTTCTTTCCAGGATAAACTGGGTCAGTGGTGAAGGTTCCAATTCATATTTATCAAAAGGCAGTTTGTCAATGACCATCGGTTCACAGTCAGTACAGGAAAATTTCACCACAGGATGAGATGTGCGAGGTGGCTAAACAAAGTATTCCACTGTTACTAAGGCTGCACAACAATTAAAATGCATTTGTGCTATGACGACTGAAGTAACACAGCTTCTTTGAAAACACATTTAAGGAACCTACTCAATACAGGATTCATTTACTGAGTCCTAAACAATTTATGATGTTACCACTGTCTTATTCTGAAGGAATCTTGTTTTCTAAATAAATGCCAGTTACTTTACATAGTAAGTCTAGAGCAATGTGTAACTAAGATTTCTTGCATTTACCCAAAAGCTGTACAAATGGGAGTAAGTCCTAGCAGGGACAGAAAAAACCATCATCATTGCTACTCAGAAATGTCCATTTTCATTCCCTACAAAAGCAGGTCCTGTACTTCTGCATTTGCTGCCTTTGCCAGGAACTTTCCTTGGCAAATTTAAGTTACAAAACTCAAGCAGTTATAGAGATCAAGAGCAGCATAAACTCAGAAAAAAAAAACAACTTTAAAAATTCACATTTTAACTAGGCTTGAGAAAAAATGTTATTTCAGTTCAAGAAACTTAAGTGTTTGGATTTTTTTAATCTTTTTATTCATCACAGGAAAAAGACCTTTGCATCTCAAGTTTCAACTTGAAATTTCTTTTGCCAAAAGGGAAAGTCAATTTTCAGTGTCATGAAAATTGGAGCTGTACACCTTCCACTGAAGAGAGGAATCTAAGTTCTTATATTCTGAGCCTTCTCCCAGGGCCACTAGAATCTGAGGAAGAGCCCAACTGGGAAGCCTCCTTCCATTTACTCCATCTACAAAAAGGTAACTCACAAATATATAAGATGAAGAAGAAAAACACAAGGCTTCTTGGACCATCTTACCACTTCCAAGAATGAAAGCCATTCTTTTGTGTCTAAGCTCTAGGCTCTTCATTTTAGGGTAAGCCACCCAAACAAGTTCTCTGTCAAGAGAGATGGTCTTGCCTTGAGCGTCTCCACCCTGAGGAAGGTGCTTTCTCCAACTGGACACCAAACAGGAGGCCCAACCAAATGAAGGAAGAACAACTCTCTTCAAGGAGTATGACTAATAAATAGTTGTGGCAGAGTTTTTGACCAAGCCACCAAAGTTATACTAGAAATAAAAAGGCTGCAAAAGAAATTGACTACTCAGACTTGAGAAGTCTAATAATCCACTGCTGGACAGCAGAACTAGTTTTACCTCTGAGCAGCTGAAGCAGCCATTTACATGTTGATCTGCCAACATAACTATCAGCAGACTTTAATATACATTTAAGAAAGTCTTTATGGTGTCATTGTCATTAGCCACAGTAGACTTAAGTTCTTGTGATAGAACTGTTTGAGACAACTCCACTGTAGTCCAGGCAACAGTCAGGAAAAGCCAAGTATTTAACCATGAACTCTTAAGCAGACAAGACACACTGCATACATACACACTGATTACAACATATGTTGTGTTTGAATGCTATTGTTAGAACAGTACTGAAATACAGGTCTTGAAACACTACCAACAACTTAGCTCCCCAACACTGCATGAGGAAGGTACAATGCAGAAGTCCTATTGATGTTGACAAGAATTTAGCTGTACATGACAGTGCCGTATAGTTATGAGAGCTATACACACAACAGAAAAAAAAACTCATCTTTCTGCCATTTGGGTATGTCAACTTCAGGCTTTTGGAAGATTTAATTCAACAGCTCTTCACTTGGCAAGATCTATTTTATCAGTCTCAATCAAGACCTGGAGTAGCAAACTGCACAGATTCTATACAGCAAATGGAGGCAGATACGCTACTGACAGTGATTACAAGGAATACACAGGATCAGCTTTCCTACAGAACACCCTTTAAATAGCCACTACATAATGACATCTTGTTTCTTTTAAGGACTACAGCAAATTTACTTACATATGCTAACTTGCTTGTAGTTCAGAAGGACAACTACACCCTTTCATGAACATTGCCACACATGTAAAAAATATCAAACCTGTAAATGTGACTAAAATTTCATACTCTATCACTCCTCAACAATCTGTATGTCAAAGGACTTAATCTGTTTTCTAACCAAGAAACAGAATTAACAGAAAGTTGAGTGAGTGTTAGCACATCTGTTTCATATAAAAAAACCCCAAAAATTCAGTAAAAATCATCATGAAATGTAGGTAACTATAATACAACTGCAGGATTTCTACTTTAACTACTTCAAATATAAACCAACACAAAAGTATATTATACTATATTAGTAATTAGTTCTCAGGCAAAAAAGCAGTAGCATACATTCTTTTGTGAAAAAAAACAAATTAATTAATTCTTAATAAATTAATTCAAAAGCTGATGTTTTCTCAGTTTCAGTAAATTGAAGGTGTGGCTAAACTGCACAACAGCAGTTTTATTCACTATATTCACTTGCTAGAATGAAAGTAGAACTACCACAGGGATTCAAATTGTCGAGATCATACTGTCCTTTATCAATACCTTCTACGGGGCAATAGAATTCTACAGGCTTTTACTAAGTGCCACCATTTGATATTTAACAGGGTTCAAACAAACACTTAAGTGCATGTACCAGGTCAAAAGTCTGTTACAGGCACTTTCCTAATGCTTCAAAGAAAAAGAAAAAAGAAGAAAACCCCATGTTATTTGCTTATCAGTAATTTATAGGCTTGCATGCGTCACTCCTTCCACAGGAAGGAAGCGTGTCACACTGCTTCCACATTTGCTACAATGTAATACATGTGTCAAGAGTTGAAAAAAAAAATACATCTGTGACGAGGAAATCCTAGAATATTCCTGCATGCACAAACCCTTTGCTTTATCTTCAGTACATACCAGTGTTGGAGAATTTTGATCTGGCCAAAAGGATTCAGGAACAGGCCAATGACCTATAGGAACCCCAGTTTTAGGGTTTGGTCTGACATAGATAAGTTTGTGACAGCTGTGCCAAGGCTGGGGTCCAAAGGGTCTGGATATCTCCACCTGCCCATCTACAGAAGAAAAAGGCTGTGTGTCAAAAGTATTAAAACTTAAGACCAGTATTAAATAACTTTTGTAAAGAGTTAAAAACCTATAACCCCAGGGAAGTCCTTCCTGCAGTTAATATTATTTCTAAGAATAGCAGATAGTTGTCAGTAAGAATGTCTGCAAAAACACAAACTGAGAAACCAAATAAGCATTGAATGTTTACAGGATGAACGCCCCAAAAGGCAATTATCTGGAGCCCTTCATAATAATGTTTCCTTTTCCTCTATTGTCATTAACAGATAACCTTCAAATCCAAGCGTTAAAGAAATGATACACATGACTAATACTGCTTGACTCCTTACTGCAGCAAAATAAAACTTAAATCTCACAAACTTCTCAGTAACATTCAAAGAGGGACCTACCTAAGCCATTTACAATGAGAAATTAATGCCACACAGGTGTATTTGCTATTTTAACTCTTAATACAGCCACTTTACTACACTGAAGAAAAAAGGATAAGCCCAGGTCTTTTGATATCGTGTCATTTACATTTCTAGCTGGTTGAAAACTGCTTAAAACCCATAAATCCCTTTAACTGTGCCTGACATGAACAAACACATTTAAGACTTCCTGAGTGGTTTGACCAAATGCAGAGATGTCTGGCAGCTACAGCCAGTATTTTGAGACACTATACAAAGAGTTTCAGAATTAACAGGTAGGTCCTTTCTGTAGTTAAGTCTTTCAAATTGCAATAGCTTCCCTTTTGACTTGACAACTACTATATTAAGTTCACTAAGTTACATTGACAACAGTCATCCCTGTTATTTGACAGCACAGTGTAAAAAATTTCAAGTACCATCAATTGGTGAGGGATCTGGACCAGCTTTTTCAAAATTTATTACCACTCCACTTTGTACTTTTTGCACCAATGACTCAAGACATTGATTCAGCATTCTTGGAGAGCACACACAATATGATCGACCTAGAACAAAACAGTCAGGGTTAAAACTCTTCAGTGTTTCTGCCCTTATTTTAACTTGGATCATTGAAAACTGTTCAACCACCACACGCAGCTGATTTATGTATGGATCACTGATTTAAAACTTTTCCTGAACACTCCCTCTTTGTTTAAGCAGCAAAGCATCCTAGTGAAGCACTGATAAGTGCCTCATCAAAAATGTTTGTATTTTAGACCCCTAATGACTAACTCCAATTCTTGGTTGCATTCATGGAAAATGGGCTCCCCCTTGTGACAGACATCAACATGTAAAATGGTCCACAAATTTCAGTCAAAGGATTTACCAGTACAGCCTACCTACAGTCAAAAAGCAGTGGAATCAAATCCTTTTAGAATACTTTTCAAAACCCTTTGTTTCTTCTCCATCACATTCCCTCTGATGCATCAGAAGAATCATCACATTTTTAAAATGTAATGAACTCAGTGCCTGAGTTTGATCTGGAATATGATTTCTACAATATTATCAATATGAGCTAAAACTGAGACAAGTATCAATTCTGCAGAATTATTATGCATTCTGAAAGGCATTCTACATGCTCTGGAGGGGAACACATGAAACAACTCACTTCCTTCACTTTAGCTTTTTTAGACCAGAAAATGACAGGAATTTACCAGAACTGTATTGCAGAACAGATTCAATTATTACAATTTCTAATCGCAATATCAAGATGTAGTAGAAAAAAGTAAGTTCTCTTACAAAACATTTCCAAAGAACGTATATTCACTCTTCCAAGACATGCTACATTTAATTGTCTGTATAGTTTTAATGCTATATGCGTCTTCAGTTTCATTATAACAGTCTTGAGAGTTTTTACAAGCACTGTAAGAACTTCAAAATCCTTATTCCATGACAAAGAATCACACAATTAATTGAATTAAACCGAATTAATTTACACTTCAGAAAGTAATGACTTGTCAAAGGAAACAAAAGCACTCACCTCCTGTGACTTCACACATAGGTGTGATAGCAGAGTCATCCACAGGTACCCCTGTCATCTGCTCTGATTCTGGTGCTGTAATACCAGGCAAACGAAGAACCAAAGCAAATAACCTCTGATCCCATCGAAAGGGTTCCTTAGTCAACTCACTTCCAGGCAGAGGGGAATTGAGAGGTAAATGGAGCTGGAAAGTAATTTAAATCTGTGAATACATAGCTTATAAAGTAAACAAAAAATCAGGTTACGTAGCAATGGCAATTCACTCTATATAAGCACACTTCTCTCTCCACACACAATACCTCATTAATAAAACGAGACAAGCTTCTAAAGGATAGCATAAGGCATTCAGAAGATCCTAGATGCTCTTTTTGCATCTGGATACTTCACACAGATAAGTGGGAAAAAGAAAGCTTACCCAAACATTCAGCTACAGAATCCCTGAACAAACAGATTTGCAACAAGTAATTGCAAGTTTCAGAAAATTTGATACATCCCTGGCTGATGATAGCCCTGTCAGCAAAAGCAAAACTCTCATGTCACCTGGAGCACTGCAGCAACCAAAGGGGGAAAAAAAATCCCCAAAGCATTGACTCAAGTAGCACAAACAGTCCTATTAGCACACCAAATACAAGGGGATTAAGCCCACATGCTGAAGCAAACTCAACATGTCCTCATTTTCTCTCATGCAGTGTCCAAAAACATCCCAACTCTCAACCCTCAACTCAATACTAGCAAGAAAGTATTCTTGCTAGTCTGTTCCAAAACTTGATGCAAATCCACACAAGCACTCATTATATATTGCCTTAATTTCTAGTCCATAGTGGTCAAACAATTTACAAAAAGCTGTTAAAGGTTTGTTTGCTTATTTTTAAGAGATAGCTCAAAAGCATTAAAACCTGATTTCCAAAACCAGATACCTCAGCTATTTCTATTTACATAATAGCAGCATTTCATACTGGGAAAAATACATGTTTGAAAAGCAATCAATTTATTGATACAATCTTGAAGCTACTAACAAACATGACAAAACTACTCATAAAATAAGGCCAAGAATCAGAATATTTTGCATTTTTCACATACCTGATGATTCCTCCAGAATTCCTCTTTTTGGTTATTCAAGCACAGAGTACATGAAAGACCAGAACTATTTTCTCCAAATGTTTCATGTTTTACACAAAACTAGTCAAAGGGAGCTCAGCTGGTTTATAACTGCTTGACATAAATGTCTTTCCCATCCACAGAAAGAACCACAAAGACTGCCTGACAATGGAAACTCAGTTAAAAGACTAGCCACATTCTTAGTTAACAGCCTGGAATCCTGACTTCAAGAAGACTGAATTGCAAGCACTCCACCATCCTCACTTGGGCCTATTAAGGAATGCCATTCAAGCTTTCCTACTTAGATCTGACTGAAGATACTATCTCCAAAGAGTACATTTGATCCGCAAAACACACCTATGTAACAGCATTGTTTTCCTTTGAGCAGCATATATACGTATTTTTTACTATGTATATTTATATATATAAATATTCTGGATTCTGCACAAACAGTATCATGAGTTTAGTTTACCTCAAGCTATAATATATTTCATTGGCTCAGCTGGTTATATGGAGAGAAGCCCAACACTCAAGAGTAGTCAGAAGCTGGCCCTTGTGTTATGCACATATTACTATCAGAAAAGTTTTCAGACTAAGAAAAAATGCAAAGCAATTGTCATGAAGTCAAATGTCCTCACCTTCCCTCCTACAATTTAATTCCAGTTACATTTAACATCCTTTAACATTTATACAGGTGAAGTTATAGATTCAAACCACCTCATTCACAGACATTAGTAACTTGGTCTTGTCACCTTCAGTTGCCTTTTTTAAACTGGTATTGTATTACCATAGCAACTGCATACATAGCAGAAACTAAGATGAGCCTGGAATTCTACATCTTACATTTCATTTCTTTCCCCACGCATATTTTAAGATGAAGGCATGCACACATTTCCCTCTTTCTCAACAGCCAGTATGAAAGATAAAGGTAGAACGAACTAATTAAGGGAAGGTTACTTACCAGCTGTGGTCTTCAACATGTGACTGTACACAGACAACACGTGTCCTCCCAGCTTAGTACTAGAAACCAGCTGTTTAGTCTCATCACTTGTTTGCAGGAGCACACAGAAGCCCTACCATTCCCAAATGCTACAATGATAATGCTACTACACAATCAGTATGCACCTTATGCCATTCTTCCTGCCTTTAAAACAACTAAAATATTCCAGAACTACAAGGGGGTGGAAGATGAGGGTTCTCGAAGATCTCTTCAGTACAAGGCTATTGGTGAACAGTTTTGTTTATTCTCAGTACTTGTTTCTACCTACATTTATACAATCATGAGAAGCAGCACAGTTTAAAATCTTGGTGTGGGGGGGAACAAAAAAGGGATCCTAGAGACCCTAGAATGAAAAAAGCTAGATATAAGCTTTAGGACACACTGCACTGGTCAGGCAGTCTGAGAAAGACACTAATGATCATCTGGCAATGGCTGCACATACAGGCTCATCCATTAGAAGGGGCACCAATAGGACTGCTTAAGCTTTAGTACCCACATGAAAACAGGTAGCTCCATCTGGGGAAATCTCACAAGAGGGTATTAGAAGACTAGGCACTAAAGTAAAAATATGGCTAGTAACCACTCAAGCCCAGCTGAGAACAGTCAGCTCTTGACAGACTGCAAAACTCTACTTAGAGTTCTCAGTAATATTATGTTCTCCCATCTTTTGCCATCCAATCCTATGCAGTTATAACACACAGAAAGACACAAACTGTTCTTCCATGGGAGATAATTCAAGGAGATCCCAAAGACATCAGTCAACTGACACACCATGTCAATGTCATGATATACTTGGCCATTCCAAAGCCAGCATTAGCCATCAACAAATACTCACTGACCTGATAGTTACGCATCAAGAATTCACACATCAAGAGCTCTGGAGCTCAGTGACAAAGGCTGTGAACCCAAAAACTGCTGCTAACAGGAATAAGGAGAAAGAACATACATTTAATGATACTTGCCACATATTTCTGCAGAATTTGTTTAGAAATTGGAAGCTTTACCTGGAGGAACTATGATAAAAAAATATAGAGCATTTAGAGTTCCTGATTATTCTTGACACTAATCAGAACCAGCAGAACCTTGACTGTGACACTTGTCACAGTTATTACAAGTGCAATGCAAGGTGATCAATTCTAGGAAGGATCAATGTGACAATGCCAAACAGATGTGGTATGAAGTCTCACAAAAATCACAGATTCCTCCTGTAAGAGTCTCTCATAACTGGCAGATCAGAAGAATGGCAATATACAGAAACCAAGCAGCATTGCTCATGATTTTTGCTTGTATAATGATTTATCAGAATGCATCGATACACTAATAACTCCATTTCAGTCTTGCAGACAAGTTTAATGCTACTTAGAGGGTATGTAGAGGGAAGACAAGGTAACATAGCTCAGCAGTTGTAAAACGCGAAAAGTGTGTTATTTTATAATATGAAAAGGAATAAGAAACCCCTTCAAGCATTTAAACATTTGCTTAATGAAAGATGAATAATGGGCTAAGACTGAATTTGGGGGATCAGACCAGAAGCAAAAGTCACTCCATAATGAATCCATAACATGAGACCAAATAATTAATGACAGTTGACCAATAGTATGAGCCCACCCCCTCCAAGTTCTGACTGGAATTTGTGAGTCCAGGAAAGAGTCTGGTCAACAAGCCATGCAGAACATAGAATTGAAGCTGGCACTTTTCAGTGCATTGGCACTGATGCATTAAAAAGCAGCGCCAGAAGGGACAGAACTGAAAGTCTTACCGACTTGTGCAGGTGGAAAAAATATAACAATATAATTTCTGTTTTCAGTCTGAGTAACCACACCCATGAGAGACAAAGTAGCACTCACTGAAGGTTAAGGCTTCATCTGCAACACCCATTTTAAAATCCACAAAGGAACAGGACGTCTGAAGAATTCAGCAAGAGCTCTGCAACAGGGTGTTCCCATAGTGATAAACTGATTTCATTGGTAAGAATGCAAATGTTCATCTGAATGACAAAGCTTTGAGAAAACTTGCCTCCAGGTTCCACACTGGCTTCGAAGGCTTTCCAAAAAAACCTGAACAAAACACCAAAGCCCAACATAGTTGGTTCTCTTGTACATGTCTTAAAAGAACTAAAAATACACTGCCTCAGTCAATGCTAAGAAGTAAAAACATTGTTGTCATAGCCAGTGGGATATGATCACTTCCAACACCAACTCTGAAAAGCCTTCCCAAAGACAAACCCAAAGAACAGAAGAGACATTTGAAAGTGACTGAAAAAGCTTTGTTACTGAACCAAAGAGGAGCAATGAACTTCCGTATCTCCAGGGTGGTGTTCCTGTACTAATTCTAGTTCATTTCTGCCTGTCCAACTTGAGAGGTAACTGTAAAGGACGCCCAAGGTAGACTAAGAAAAATTCTCTTTAATAGGACACACACTGACAACAGCAAAAGAATATCCCTGAAAGACAGCAGCACCCTTCAGTGCTCTGTTCCTCTTCTTTGATAGTGTTAAGAATGTTCTTACCAGTACATCTATGGCACAAAATAGGAAAAAAAAAGTCACATCCTTTGCTGGGTATGAAATATATACCCAGTACACACATATGGAAAAGCATTCAAACTTGCATTTTGTCTTGCAAGAACAGCCGTCACTTTGCCTTCTGGAGAAATGGAACATCTTTACATTGGCTTATTTGTAACAAAAAAGCCCCACAGAAATTCACTATTATTAGAGCAAATCCTGCATTTTTAAAAATATACTTTAATAATCACAAAATTGTAACACTGGGCCCTATTTGACAACAGTCAGCATTGCTCATGAGACAAGTCGAAATTAAATAGATTAATGCAGTCACCAGAAAACCCTTTTTCTCAGCCTAAGTTACAACAGTTTAGAGATGTGAATGTATGACCAAATGGTTGCCTGACTCTAGAAAATTGTCTTCTTGTGAAGACTAAGATGAAGAAGTTGTATCAGCATTAAAAGGAAAAGGAACAAAAAAAACCCCACCAAACCTGTTTTTTTTTGGCTGGCTATAAAAGTCCTGATTCTTGTTGTAAAAGAAAGAGCTTAACTACTAATGCAGCTTTCTTACCTAAAT